GTTGGTAACAGGTCATTTCTTCCAAGTCCTTTTGTCCAACTCCAAGTTACTGTACGTCATCGGTCTTTGTAACAAGTCAAGTCATGCAAACTCTGTTGATGGAAACAATAGATAGACACGCACCACTTAGAACCAGGCGAATCAGTAGCAAGAGATCCCCCTGGGTTACAAACGCATTGAGACAATTGATTTTTAAACGAGATTATTTAAAGAAGTAGCAATTTCTACGAAAGATTCACAAATTTGGTGCCAGTGTTGGAAATTTTTTGATAGAATGTTTTCACAACAAATCACAAGGTTTTTGTTCTCTATTTCTGATGTGTAATCACTATAATGCTTCTCAACGATTTTAAATCGATCATGCCCTTGTCAAAAAACGTCAAAAAAACGTTGCTTACATAAATTACATAATTAACATATATTAACGAGATAATCATACTTTCGCACACCAGTATAAATGTATAAGAAATCAAGTCAATAATGAAATAAAAAGCGAAACGACTTTATTTTGCTAATAGTCTCGTTTTACATAAAGGAGACCCTAAACAAACATGAGTATAAGGAGTATAAATGAGTTATACTCTCGAAAATAGGAAAAACTAAGATAACTTAGTGAACAATTAATAACCTCACCTGTTAAAAGAGCCGAAACTTTCAATAATTATTTCTCGAATGTTGGGGATGAATTAGCTCCTGAAATTCCTGTCTCTGAGTCTGAACCAGAATCCTACCTTGACACAAACCAATGCAATTGTTACCCTGCAAATTTCTACATGGACCATACCAAATAAGTTGCAGCACATGTAATTGCAACTTCTTTGACAGAAATATTTGCAAAATCCATTTATACTGGAATATTTCCTAATGAATGGAAGGAAGCAAGGTTGGGTGTAACGAATGAACCAAGTAATTATCGACTAATTAGGCTGGGGCGGTTTTTGAAAATACCCGAAACCGATAACCGAATAAAAACCCCCAATAAAACCAACAAAACGATCTTTTAAAACAAAGACGTCGTACGCGGTGTAACTTAATTTAACGACCGACCAGCAATGACTCATACCGTCCGATTACGAGCGGACTTATCGTTAAGAGCTCTGACTTATTAGCAAACGAATTTAACTCTTGTGAGGAAAATAACCATCTGAAGACTGCAGAAAGGGGAAAGTTAAAATGGTGTAAAGATTTCGAATCGCTTCAAATATTTAACCTTAATGCAAATATACTGTTTATATCTACATATTCAGTACATAATATTCCAGTTGACTCGTTCAAGAGAGATGTAAGAGTGCTATTCAATTTTGACTTATCCGCCGTTTAAGCTAAACGGGCTTGATACAACCGACCCCAGTTCTGCATATTCAAAAGGTTTAAAAATTTGTGCACAGTATTGGTATAGAAATTGCGAGAAAGAATGGTCCGTGCATATATGCCGTATTCTAGAAGGAGAATGTTCATTCACGCGCAATGCAAACAAAAAAGTCAGGAGTAAAGGCTGACATATGTTTTTGTGTTAAAACACTTAATTCAATTACTGTTACATGGCTCTAAGTTCGAAATTGCCATTCTTTTCAAGCTGCACTGAACTTTTCAGTGAAGCATTGTTACTGAAATAAAACAAAGGTTCCATAAGAGTCTGCGCCTTTATCAAATATGCTTTCTATGGATGTGATGAACTCGCCCAAGCAATTTTTGCGTCCTTTAATAATAGCAGAACCGAGATGCCCACGGTCATGAAAATCTACCATCAATAAATGACTGGACGATGCTGAAAAGAATATGGTGTAACCTGCGTAGATGAAAATCGCTGCTTGTTTTTCTATCAAGTTCGCCAAATTATTCACTAAACGTCCAACAGGATTCGAGTCACACAATCGAACTGGGGTAGTCTTGAGCAAAACAATAGTGAGCCTTAGTTCACGTTCTAAGTATAAAATGGCTTCGTCAGCTGTGAGCGGCCTTGCTCCACCTTCAAATGCATTCGACAACGAATATCCGGTTCGTGCAGCATAGAGAACAGCTTTAAACCAGTCTTTGGATAGAGGACCATCCTCTGGTAGACGCTGATCGGTAGACAGCACCATGTTACCAAGTATAAGACCGGATAAAATGGTGGCATTTAACTTGCTGAGATATTCGACGGGTTGGTCACACCATGGCTGAAATAACCATACAGATATCGAACTTCCTTCAGCTTTGTGAAACAGAACTTCGCTCAACCTACGGTTTAACGACGAGGACTCGTCAGCAAGAGGACTGTGGTTGCCTGCAGCTTCCACCGTAAGCGCCTCATTGGCTTGCGATATCGCTAATCCTGCTGTGCTACTTGTTGCTGTGTGGATTGTCGTTGGAAGATTCAATCCGATGTTTTGGCAAGCATCGGGAACAACGTGAGGCTTATCTATCGAAACTTTAGGGCGTTTTGATAACGGTGCATTTTCGGCATGGTCTTCCTCATGTTTGCTTACCAGTTGCCCGTATAAATTGAGGTTTATCGTATTTCCAAACTAAAAAAATATATAAAAAAATTATACAAACAAATAGTAAAATTCTTAAGCTATGTTTGAACACAGCGATTTGTCGGACTGATTTGGAAAAATATTTGTTGGCCCTTCTTTGAGTCAGAATATCTATTTTTTGTATAGTTTTCTGCAGGCAAAGAATTTTCAACTACTCAAAAACGCAAGAAAAATCGGGGGAATCATGATAAAAATCTGTGCTTCGCTGCATGTTTTTCGTCCGATTGTTGTGAATCTTGAGTTGAATACTGTAACTTCATTATATAGTGTCTAGTTTTATTAACTTAGGCATACACCATAAATGCATTCACCTGCTTACGATGATTATTGATGATACGCTGATTGACCTTTTCATTGCTGAAGTGCGTTGCCAAACGTTCCACAAAAACGGAGTTATGAGCTGTGAGAGACGTCGTGAAATAGTTATCGCGATTTCGTCTGTTGTTCAGTTGTTCAGCAGTCTCTAGGTTTATCTTTCCAGCCAATTGGTTGACGCACGATACTCGGCGCAAGCAATCTGCAGGATTAACTGAGTTTTTCTCGTGAAACGGATCGAAAAGACAGTAATGATCTGTTGACCCAGTGGTGGGGTTTCGAAGCAGCTGCTCGCCATCCGACCTAACAGGTGCCACTGTTGAGGAGACATTCCTGGTATTCGTGAACCAATGCCAGTCAATTTCAAGATCACCATCTTGTGCCTTTCGGATGTTTTCTTCGCTACATTCAGCAACTCGACCCTCAAATGGATGGAACACATTGTATCCACGATTTTTGGCATGCGCTACAACCATATTTGCCATATCTACAGCGACTACATTTGGAAGTGATGCAAGGCTCATCAACATGTCAACATGGTCTCGTGGCCCCTCGTGTCTTAGAAGCCACTTTAAGCCGTAGCATGCACCATGTGGGCAAGTCATTCCAAGCCAACCGCCTAAAACATAAGTGATTGTTCATTATTACATCAGAGAGGAAACGAAGTAATACACTTGAAAACTATACTTGAAAACTACACTTGAATAGTACAAAGAAAACTGAAGTCTTACGACGTTTGTATGAGGCAGAGGAAAAAATTACTTTGTAGTAATTTTAATTACAAAATTGGCTAATATGAGTGCGTAATTTGTGCATCACTGCATGCGAGGATATATGCCTGTAATAACTATTTCTAATGACCATTTTACACCTAATCTATTACAATAGTACACTGTAAAAACTGAATGGTTGAAATGACCAAAAAAAAAGGTTGCAACCATTTAAAATGGTTGTTTCAACCAATTAAATTGGTTAAAACCAAATTAAAATGGTAGAAATAACCAATAAAAAATTGGTAAAATGGATATGAAAGCTCATATTGGTAAAAACAACCAAATATATTTAGTAGCAACAAATAAAATTTGGTTAAATTTACCAATTACTCTTTGTGGTCAATGGGGTATATTTGTAGACTTCTGGTTCTATGTTCTATTGAATCCAATAAAATATGCTAGAATGCTATAGCACATTCTAAATCCTATGGCTATAGAATATTCTATAGGACTTCTTATGATCTTATGCTATATAGAATTCCATTGCCGTATTCTATAGAATTCACAAATCCTATAGAATTTACAAATCCTATAGAATATTAAATCTTAAAATTAAATTTCTCAGCAAAAATCACTCGTTTTGTAAGGACAAATCACACATGCATGTATCTGTAAACTGTCTTCATAATATACCTGTTCGCAGGTTACGTGGCGGGCGTTTTGCCCAAAGAGGACCGCAAGGTTATGTGGGACTTGTATAACCGACACGCGTTATTTTCAAATTTTGAGCGCGTCTTTGACTCTTTGTCATCGGTTCAAGGTTTTATAGTAGAATTTAGTGAGTTTTTCTTTCGTATTTTAACATAAAATACGCGTTATTTGAATTTGTCAATGAGTAGTCATGCGAAATTGGTGAAACACGCTGGATTAATATGCGAGGAGATCCGGATTATTTGTGAATAGTGACTGTGATCGCGAGGAAGAAGTAATTGTGTCATGGCCATGTGGAATTTCTAAAGTTGATAAGAAAATAATCAAAGGTTCCATTCAACTATCTACAATTTCAACAACAACATGTGTACAGCTAAAGTATTATAATTCAGTGGTGAGTGTGTTTGTATATAGTATATGTTTATATTTAAAATATTGACTATTTTTTCAGATCAGACTTTGTATGGCTGCTGGACACTTTTTCAAAACTTTGTCTAGCTGTCACATGCCTACTAGTATTAATTAAATATGAAATGCCCTCTATATATAACCATGCACTGAGTCATTTTAATAAAAGATTACTTTATTCACTCCATCAAGGCTTCAAGATCACCTTTAAGTGCAAGATTCTTGTGACTGATGCTGAATCAGAAATCCTCAAATTCTGATGCTGAATCAGAAATCCTCAAATTCTGATGCTGAATCAGAAATGGCAAGTATTATTGTATTTATCTGTCAAAACTCAACAACTGTAAATCCTACTTCTGGTGAATCATATAGATAATATAATATACCTTTTATTTATATCATTATAAATAGGGCCATTACAACTATTTCTGTCAATGCTTTTGCAGTACATTTATAAATTCTATAGCTATATCATGGCATCATGCTAAGAATGAATAAGGTGTCAAATGTTTAAATTTCATATTTACTGTTAAAATTTACAGATTTTCTTATATCCAAACATATTAACCAAAGGTCAAAATTTGGTTTATGCAATTATGGGCATGTCAAGGATGCAAGAACAACTTTGCTCTCATTCCATCCCTGGGAAACTTTCAAATTATGCCTTTAAAGAAAAGGATGCAAAACCCCAACTCGACCCAGAGAAAGTTAAGAGTATATGTGGTAAGTAGTAATTGTTAGTAACTATTTGTGGAAGTTAATATATCTTATATACATATCTTGGTTTATCTAATTGTTGACTTTTACTTTTTCTGTGTGTAGAGCATCATTTCGATGCACATGGTTAAGATGCCCAAACATTGATTCAAAGAAGCCATCAATGCTGGCTGTTCTGGAAAAGAACAAGAACAAAGATGTCCAACACATTATTGGTCTATTAGAGGATTGTCACCCGAACTAGAAAAAGGTATCTACAGATATATATGTATATAATATACAATGTTGAACTATGCAAATCACATTTATTATGTTGCCTGCTGAATCTTGTAATCAAACTTATTTAATAGAAATTGAAAACCATTGCATCTACACTGCCCCGCTGCATCAGTTGAGGCAGAGAAAGACCTGGACAATTATTTTGGGAAATTGTCCCTGTAAATATTAAACTATAGTTCAAGAGTTACTCCATAAGAACTAAAAATATGCTCAAGTGGCTGCTTGTCATGTGTAGGGTCTTGCTCTTTTGTGTCCCAGGATTTTTGCCATATGTAAATGTTTTATTTCCAAGCTTAGGAATATAAAGTTTTATAATTTTTAACTTTTATTTTAGGATGACAGTGGTGTTGAAATTTAGACCATTGTAAAAAAAGAACATTCCCGAAGTTGCTATTAACTGGATCTCTTGGTTACATCCATTCACTGGACCTTTTGGCTGAAGGCATGGTAGCAATAAAGTTTAAGCAGTTTTCCATCTTAAATGCTGTTGTGTGTTTGCTGACTGCATTGTATGTATCCAACGCAGAGAACCCTAAAGATGGAGGTGGGTAGACAAAGAATGTGTTCCTTCTTCTGGACCAGATATTACTACAAACAAACGGAAAAACGAACATTCCAATTGGAGTTAAAAACTTTTTACCGCAGCTTTGAGAACCTGGAAATGACTTAAGTATAGATAGATGAATCCTAGTAAGATAAGTGTTTGAATGTAGTACTTTGTATATATGTATAAATGCAAATAACCATTAGGATAATTTATTTATTATATTAGATCTTTTATAATACATATGTGTGTTTTGACAAAATTTGATTTGAAGTGCTCTGAATTTCAGGATAATTTAACCAATCCTTAATTGGTTGAAATAATTGGTCAAAAAAACCATTGCACATTGGTTACATTAACCAAATTCAATATAGGTTACATCAACCTATTAAATATTGGTAGATTCAACCAATATTAATATTGGTAATTTTAACCAAAACGAATTTGGTAAAAAAATAACCAAATTTTAATTGGTTGTCCTGGTTGCATCCAGGAGAACCTTTTTTTTTTGGTTGTTTCAACCATTCATTTTTTACAGTGTAGTTTTGCATACATTCTCGTAGCACATCTTACAGGAGTTAAACCTGTACCTTCATAAATGAAGGGGGTGGCCTGATGTTTTTAAACAAGAATGAGCAAGGTCCAAAACGTGTCACTAGACCTTACCCTTTACTGAAATGGCCTCGCTTCCACTTATGACAGTTTTCGGGTAGCAGGCGCACGTCCAGGTTATATTGCTATGTTTTGAGCACTGATATACATGTGATTATCTTCGATCTTTAGCCCATCAAAACTTACAGACATATACCTACCTTTTTGCGTACGAAATATATAACCCACATAAAAACAAGACCATTTTAATGCCATAATCGGTAAGGTACATTGCAAGATTTCACATTATGAAAAGGTTAAATCAATGTGGTATATTCGCCTACCTAAGCCACCCCACATTTTGGAGAAAAGTTTCAAAAATGTTTCTTCAATGTCAAGGGCCTTTTTTATTCTGTTAATTACATCTAGTTTTGAGCCTTTGTCGCTAATATTTAAGCTTCTTGCCAAATCCCTAATCACTGGAACCTATAATTAGTGTACAAAAAAATCTTTTCTGGGAAAGGAAAGACCATTCCTGGCATCAAATTTGCTATATGCATTTCGAGAATAATAAAACGGTCCCTACCTTTCCTTCACAAAACATATCCATTAACTTCTCAACAGACAGGTTATCTGGTGATGCTCCTGCGGACCGAATATCATCTCCATGGTTGGCTTTGCGAAATTCGCTGTTGTATACCAGCTTTCCTCTCCGACAGTTAAGTCCAACAAAAGGGGCCCAAAAATTGTAGCTAGGTTTTAATTCCAAAGGGTTCTTTTCCGTACCTAAATAAGTATTAAAATGTATATACAAACAATTACATAGTGTTATAACACTAGAATATATATATATTCTTGCAGGTTTTCATGGCGATATCCCATTATAAATAAATTAGCTTGTAGGTACACCACGTAAGTTTTTTAATATTGCAAAGCTTTCGGTCCGTTAATCTGGGCCTTCATAAGTGCGACTACTTGTGAACACCATTTACACGTCACTTAAATATCACGTTCTTCTTGATTAGTTCGTCGTAATAGTAGTTGCACTGATGAAGGCCAAGGTTACGGACCGAAAGCTTTGAAATATTAAATACTTACGTGGTGTACCTACAAGCTAATTTATTTTTATAATTACATAGTGTTAACATATCAACACCAATCATCGCAATAAATGGCAGATTAATATTTTTAATTAATATACCAGGGTTCCCAATGATAACATTGTTCTTTTGAACACCGAAGGGACTACCCTGGGGATAAATAAAGGTTTAGTCATCATCAACAATACTATTTGAAATATTTGAAAAAATACGTCACCTCTTAGTATCCCTCTGTACAAAATAGCACATTAACCCGTTCCCAGAAATCATCAGCATCAACCATTTCGGGGTTAGTATCAACTTCAGATTCCGTTCTTGCAACTTCGAGCTCACTTACTGTATAAATTATACAAAGTCAGGCGTTTAATACGTTCAGAGTGTCTCTGGCACGGTTCAAGGCCTCGAAGAAGATAAAAAGTCTAAAATAGCGTAAAACAAGCGGTAAAATCACGAATCTATATAAGAATATATATTATACCTGCCAGTTCAAACACTCCTTTCTTATCAACGTCCAATGTCAGCAATGGAGGAAAATATCCGCAAAGCACACAAGAGAAGGAATAACTGTGGTCAGTAAGAGCTTCAAAGTGGAGGTACGCATTCAACATTGAACTTCGTGGGAGCTGAAATGGTTGCAACTGTAACCAGCTTTCAATTGCTTCAACAGTCCGACTAACAGCATTGTGAACCTATATAAAAATTTTTGTATTTTTACTATGTGTATTTTACCGAGTAAAGTCGCTTTAACAAACTCTAATAAAATCACTTGCTGCGTTTTGTCATTTGGAACATGACGCGTAAGCCTAAATCCAGACATGTACGCATATACATGTAACCTGACCAAACTTGCATCGATACCTGAAGATGTTTTCGTAACATGTCGCATAACCCCAAGCTTAGAATCCAGTTATCGTTAAAATTATGCACACCATCACTGAACTCTTGGTATCTGTACGGAAGCTTACATTCATCGCAGAACTTTACGTATACAGAAACCCCTGAAAAAATTAGGTGAACATTACTGCAGTGCTACAGGATTGAAAAATAAAAGTTTCTTGATCGCTCAACATACTGTGACCGAAGTGTATATGAGATGCTAGAACATGTCACCACAAATCAGAACAGTATCACTTAACTATAGAGTACACACGTAAAAACGCACGAGTTGTAACAAGCCTGCAGCAAGCTTGTCGCAAGCTCGTTTCAACAAGCTTGTTGCAAGATTTATTCGCACCGCTTGTCCCAAGTTGTTGTGACGGACGTGTAGCAAGTTGTTGTCAGACTTGTAGCAAGTTTGTTGTGACAATGCTGTACCAAGGTTGTTGCCAACAAGCTTGCTACAAGTCTGACAACAACTTGCTACAAGCTTGTTGAACTTGAGCTGTTTCAAGCTTGTTATAACAAGGCCGTTACAAGCTTGTCGCGACAAGCTTGCTGCAAACATGGCCGCGCATTAAATCTCGCTTGAAAACACGCGTGTTTTCCCGGAGATTGTGAAACAAAGAACAAACAACACAAAGTTTGATGTAAAAATCATATTATTTTAAAAACAAATTCAAAGGTTAGCAATTAAATACAAACTTCACATTTGAAGTACCAAGATTACTAAAGGCTCAGTACAAGAACATATGTATTTTCCTTTCTGAGTATATAGCCTAATAATCAGTTCGTAAGAAAAGTTTCTTTGCATTCATATGGTAAAAATTAACTGGTGCATGAATATTCTTGTATAATACCAGTATTTCAGTCACTTGTTGAATTGACTTCGTCATCCCAAGAATCAACAGCTAGCTGCACCTCTTTCCTATAATTCACTTTGTTTGATACGACTTTCCGGCCAATACCTCAGTTTAGCTCCAGTTTGATAATCAAATTCCTATAAAGTATAATATACAATGGCTTCAGGAATAAGTTACTTTAAAAAATATGCAAATATTTTTGAGGAAACTGGTTTGCAAATACGTTGAGGAAACTCCATCCTGTCTGCTGTGGCGAGGGTCTTGCTTGCCATCCAAGTCTAATGTCAAATAAGTAATGTACAAATACTTTATTACCATAATACGTAAATATATATTATTATTTCTAATCAGAGCATGCTAAAAACATACGCACAGATATTAAAAATAGGAAATTTTGCACTTTACCGCACACCTACTCGTCATTAAAAATATTTGAATTATTGAATACAAAAAACCGGCAAAGTTTCGATTTTGATAAATATCCACAGAAACTAACAGTTCAATGTTTATAAAAAGCAATAAATTCAACAAATATTTTAAAAACTATATAGTTTTAAAAGGCTAGCTTGTGTACTATAATAAATTGTGTTGCCGGCGTTGTGTACGCCATATCAAATATTTGGATGAATTAAACGCACATACCTTTATTAAAACGTCGAACTGTAGTATTCTTCAAACTTTTTTAAGTTGCCCATCCGTTTTAACTGATAAAAAATCAAAGGTTTTGGCACAAAGATAGCTCAATGACCAGATCATAACCAGGTGAATCAGTGAACTCTTGAAAAGAGCAGGGAAATTTGCAAATATACTGACGTATATTTCAACCAATAAGATCACTTATACATAGTTTAAACAGAGTCTGAACCAATGAGATTACTCCGTTGAAATCGTCACTTCCTCAACGGTTCAACGGTTATAGATATCCTTGAAACAAGGAAATGTTCATCTGTAATGTTTTTAAGGAATTCGGATTCTTTTCAAATCTTATTATTAAAAGAAGTTATGAACTTCGTTGCAGAGTGTTAAAGTGTTTAAAAGCTCGTTGATCTTGCTTTTGCCATTTGATGAATGGCAATGATCAATAAAATCATATTTGGCCCAGTTCAAATTGATTTTGTTGTTATCGGAAAACTTTTGCCGTTAACAATGTCGCTACAACTTGTTGGAACTGTCTTGTTACAGCATTGTCACGCGCAGCCTTCGTACAAGCTTGTTGTGACAGGCTTGTTACAACTTGATGACTATAACAACTTGTCAACAAGTTGCTCCAACAAGCTTGGTACAGCTTGTTGTCGACAAGCTTGGAACAAGTTGTTCCAACAACTTGCTACAAGTCTGCAAGCCAACAAGTTGTAGCAAGCTTGATGTCAACAAGCTTGCTACAACCTGTTGTCTCAACAAGCTTGTTACAACTTGTCAACAAGCTTGCTACAAGCTTGTTGAGCTAACAAGTTGTCAACAAGATGTGAGATTTTTAGGTGTGTACCATACAGTAGTGTAATAGCATGTTCTAAAAAATACCCTACCTTCAATAATTCCTTTTAATGTCACAATTTTGGCATTCCTCGTAATACAAACAGGCTCACTTAAAGGCAGGTTACAATACAAGCAAGATGTCTCCACTGGGCAAAGGCTGAAGTTATAAAACAAACATTTAATGATACGCAGCAAGATGAATGTATTATTTTGTTATGTTGCGTTATGTTGTGTTATCATGCCAGACAACTATATTACCACATAAAGGCCAAGACACAATGATAAAGAAAGCAATAATGTATTTAGTACCTTGTAATAAAGTCGTCTTTTTGCACTGTCAAGGAGAGTGGCAGCTTTGCTGGGATTTTCTTCTCGGAAAAAAGATACCTCACAAGTTTAACTGCATTGTCTCCAATCGGGGGATAGAATTTTCCAGATTGATTTGGGAGAAGAACTTCTTGCATATCACCACCGATATCTCTCTCAAGGTCAGGAAGAGCATTACCATCTTCCATATGACCTTCCTCTTCTTCGTTTGAAGTGATTCGAACAAGACCAAGAGCCTCACGATGCCACTGAGACAGCGCCCATTTCACAAGAGATTTATGAACACAAGAACGGCGAGAACGGCAACATTTACAATGAAAAGAAGAGCCCTCTTTGTCAAAAGAGACTACTACACGATTACAGAAGGACCAGTAATGATCTCTTTTGACGTTGGCGAAAACAGAAAAGTGAAGAAAGCGAGGTGAATCCGTCGAGACAGGCATTTGCACAACTAATGGTACACCAAGGATAGAAGACTGCCTTTGCCACTCTAAGCATTCTACTTTCCGTTCCGGCTTTAACCACTTTAGAGTGTCTACAATATAGCTTAATGACTCTTCTTTGAGATGACATGAGGGAGCAACACGTGGACAGGACAAGAACTGAGAAGATCTTAGGTGGTCACATAAAAAATTAGATTGTCCACTTCTTGATGCTGTAGCACTTAATTCACAACAAATTTCTGCACTACAAACAATGGACGTTGGGTGATTGATCTTATATTGGCAATGGATTGGATGGTCAGTTCCTCGCATTTGTTGCCGAATCAAGTAAATCCCATTTGATGAATCAACACAAACACCTCGCAAATGCCTCGATGAAGTAATACCTTTCCTATGATCACCACATGTTTTGTTTTAATATGGTTGCTGATGGAGTTTGGATGGAACTCTCTGCAACATTCTGGAAAAGGGCACTTCACTCGAGCAGATGGTTGTCGCACTGATCTTGGTTCTGATGGTCTGTAGCAAAACACTGACTGAAACTCGTTAAACTGCTGCTGCATTTCTGGTTGTTGCTGTTGTTGTTGTTGCTGTTGTTGCTTCTGTTGTTGTTGCTGTTTGTGGCTGCTCTTCTTCCTGTTGTTTGTTGCTGTTGTTGTGGCTGCTCTTCTTGCTGTTGTTGTTGTTGTTGTTGCTGTTGTTGTTGATGTTGTTGCTGCTGCTGCTCGTGCTGTTGTTGTTGCTGTTGTTGTTGTTGCTGTAGTTGTTGCTGTTGTTGATGTTGTTGATGATGTTGTTGTTGTTGTTGCTGTTGTTGTTGCTGTTGTTGTTGTTGTTGTTGCTGTTGTTGTTGTTGCTGTTGTTGTTGCTGTTGTTGTTGTTGCTGTTGTTGTTGCTGTTGTTGTTGCTGTTGTTGTTGTTGTTGCTGTTGTTGTTGCTGCTGTTTTTGCTGTGAAGGCAAAAAAATGTGTGTTTTCTCGATATGTTTAAGAGCATCAGCTTTACGTTTAAAGCCACTATTACATCCAAAGCAATGGTAGTGAGTGGATTCGCGCAGCTTATCATTTGAACCATTTCGGCTAGATTGAAAAGTGCATGCCAGTTTACACCTCAAAATGGTGAAACCTAGAAATAATAAATCATATTCTTAAATTGATTATATCTTAAGTTTACCTATACAAGCATTACGTTGCAACACAATTAACCCATTAAAAATAACAGCACTCCCTGGGTAAAATGTAACACCATATGGGAGTACAAAAATAAACTTCTTACAGAAATTGAGGAGCAAGACCTCTTTACCTCAAGACCGTTTATACTCTGTGTTGATTACATATGATTAAGTCTGCACTTGTCTGTTTAGGGCAGATTAAAGCTACCCTGACAAGTGCAAGTAAAATAGTGGGAGTTATCATCACAGCTCCAGCATAAATATTCAAAGCAGTCATTTAGGAGGTGTACAGTTTAACCCATTCGGCACCAGCACTCTCTCCTTGACAAGTAAATTATCTGGCATTGGACAGAGTAAATACTAAAGTAGGGCACATCAGGGTGCAATGCAACTCAATGGGTTAAGTATCAGTGTGCATGCAATTTATATATGCCACAAGCCAATAATCATGCTCCCTATCACCTGGTTATTTCCTGTCTAAAGCCAGGCAATTTTTGTTTGTCAAAGGGAGACCTGTTATTTCCAATCTAAAACCAGGCAAATTTGATTGTCAAGGAAGACCTAGCTTTGCCCACAATATATTACTGTCTCTTAACCAAAATTATTACATAGATAAATTTCCACTGCCTGCAATATGGTAGTCTACCCTACTATTTCACTCATCAGGCAGGCGGTGAATAAAGTGAAGTTACATGAAGGCATAAATGATAACTAAAATGCCCTATCATAATTAGACAGAAAAATAGCAAAGTAGGGTGCACCTAACTAGGGTAGATTTGCCCCTAATCAGTGGCGTACAGGAGACGATAATTGGGGGGTGGAAACATATTCATATATTCATTTTAACAGACTTGTAAAGATAGTGGATTTGAAAAGAAATTAATCTTGCACAACATGACTATATGAATATGTGCCTCCCCTCCATTATCATCTCCCATACGCCACTGCCTCTAATAAAAATAGGTTAATTACCATGAGATATTAGCACATTGCCGTAATCGTCTTCCCTTAATGACTAAAATAGCCTGGCTTTAGAAAGGTTATAACAAACTAGTAGGGTGCACCATCATGACATTCATATATTGCACATTACCAAATACCAATTACCAATGGTCAATGGAATGAATGGATAGTACAAACCATGTTTTGTTAACCCAATAAGGCAGTAAGCGTGTATAACGGTCCTAAAATTATTTCCTGAATTTTTGCAAACAAGCCAATACAAAGGATGGCAATTCTATGATTGTATCCAGTGTGGCTGCAGCACACTTAATTTTAATGAACAAATAATACAAGACAAAATGATATTACACCCGTCCTTTACATCTGCTTTATGACGCTTTGTAACCCGTATTCAGTGAAGCATAAATTGTGAAAAAAAATGCTATTTACATAAATGAATAATTATACCTTGGATACTAATTCGGTTTTCCACATGGACCTTTTCAAAATGTTGTCTCACTCTGCAAGGTATATCTTTTGCAAACTTGTTCTGTGGACAAAGCTGGCAATGGTAAAGCCGTCCTTGGCAAATATCATTTCCACAGGCTTGTTGATTGCACTGCGTGATATGGAAATCTCGGGGTTCACTTTCATGATATACTGAGAGATGCAAACCCGTGCGCTCTTCGCTACTTTGCGCCATCTTGTTTGTTTGGCGCGATTGTAATACGTCGCGCAATTCAAGGCGAACTGGGAACGTCATGTATTTGCTCTTCAGCGTCGTGTATAAGTTGTTCAGCGTCATGTATTTGCTCTTGTATATTGTGCAATCAGTTACCTTATATGGAATACGTACTATAAGTGCCTATCCGAATTTTTTAAGAGGAGTTTTATTAGAAAATCGCGTATTGGGCGCTCAAAACTAAATTAAGATTTAATCGAATGAATCGGGTGGTAACATGGCGGCTGGTTCTTATATCGTGAGAGTACTTTACTGCGTGTTTTCACATAGTCAACTGTTGACTTTCGTTTAATTTTGTTAAATATCGTCAATATACTATTGGAATGATGTGTAAAATGATAAACAAGATGAATTCAACAGTAATTGAAGAGTCAAAAGCAACGCAATGTTACACAGAGGGGTTGGAAGGATTCGACTCTCACAGAAGCATGGAAGGTAGGCGTGCATTTTTGCGGATTTTTCATATTATACTGCCATCGATAACAATAAATCATACCTTGCAACATTCCTTTGACATTCTAGTTTTGATTTAAGGCATCTTATATAAACTTAGCTAGGTTATTTCGGAGTAAATCTTGATTAAATTTAGAAGCGATTCAAATTTTAAATTTTCACAAAATGCAGTCACTATAATCCGTATTTTGCTCTTATCTTTCAAGCTAAGTGTTCATATTATAATTTATAACGTCTAATGTTTAACTAAGATGTATTTTGTTAAAACAATTGCCATGGTCCCAAGATCTAGGCATGAAATTTATCTAAAAAGTTATTAATATTTTTGTGTAATTAAGTATAAAATGAATACATAAGTCTGTTGTAAAACTGTTGTTCACCACTTGTAAATTACTATAGAACTGTTTCCAATCAACCTAAGGCATATTTCATGATTTGCCCTAGGTATGCTAGTTTACAAAAAGCATCATTTAATTAAAATTGGAGTGGTACGCCGTGGAGCATTTTTCCACTTTTTAAAATGAACCAGATTTGTGTATTCTCAACCTGTATTTTTTGTACAGTCCAGCATTACTATCTGTTTATTGAATATAACGCAAAGCGCTATATTACAAGCTGTGCAAACATGGCTCTCGACCTATTTTACACTTCTATGATGATTTTAGATGGTTTGAACATGTTTTGTTCCCAAAATCCACAGGTTTTCTATAAGCCATGATTTGGCCAATATGGAGGGAACCTTCACCTTACGTTAAATGATTAAATATCAACTGAGAACCATTTCCGATCAACCTAAGGCACATTTCATGATTTGCCCTAGGTATGCTAGTTTACAAAAACCATCATTTAATTAAAATTGGAGTGGTACGCCGTGGAGCATTTTTCGACTTTTTAAAATGAACCGATTTGTGTATTCTCTACCTGTATTTATTGTACAGTCCAGCATGTATCTTTACAATGTATCTTTCTCCAATTGCCCAATATTTTCACAAATGTTATTCACTTAAATATTATTACAAGTGGTAAAATCCTAAAAATTACCGACTGAAGGCAAGGATTCAATGAGGAGGCAAAATATTGCAAAAATTGGTTTGTATCATGAGTTTGTCTGACAAAATTACAATTTGCTTCAACACAAAACAGATTTGCTGTATACACAACGTGTATTTACTTGAATAGCCCAGTGTTGCTATCTGATTTTTGGATATAAAATGAAATGTATACTGTAAGCTGTGCAAACAATTGGCTTTCAGCCCATTTTATATTTCTATGGTGATTGTATAGGGTTTTATTTATCCTGGTTGAACACATGTTGCAGATCTGGAAGTTTGTGCAAATCACGCCCTGGATGCTACATCCTACATGCCTTTATTAAAGCCCTTTCTTGTTAACTCCAGACTTGTCTTGATAAATCTCTTATAGAGGAATTTGCCATTGCCACATATTTGACATATCTATTACTTTTTATTGCAGGCTTTCTTTAAAAAACAGTGGAAACAACACAAGATTGCAAAAACACTATTTATTGCAATTAATGATATAATATTTTAACAACAAAGTCAAATTACAATTTTATATTACCTATACTTACAGCTGTATAATTTTGGAATGAATTGTCCCATGATTGTCCCACCAATTGTCCTACATGTCCCATATTATGTACCCACCACACAAGGAATTCATTGTTAATAAAGTAGAGAGGGCAGTTGTTTTTGAAATAAATCAAAATAGTTTGACTTTCCCTTTCTTTGTGTTGTTTCTTGAATAAATTATTTACGGTCTTTTTTATTATTGTTGTGATAAAGATAAATTGATCTTCAAGCTACTACACATAACTATCCACCATCTCCAACGCAAATGCGAGTTTACTGGCATGTCCGTATCTGAAACTATTGTTCTTATTTTCCAAGATGTGTTGGATACCTAGAAATAAAAACGTTGACATTTGAGATTTTTATTTTATCACAAGATTAATTCTAAACCACTAAAATCAGTATATCTCAATATGTTTACACATTAGTGTGTGACTGTGACTGTGTGTCACTCCTTCGCACTAATAAAAATGTACGCATGGAAAATTATATCATTCAAAATACAAAAAAATTGAACGAACACTCACCTGTTGTTCTTCTTTGTTTCAAGGAGCTTTTCGTCTTTTGAAATTCCCCAAAAGTTAGTAAAACAGCTGTCACTCAACACGAAAACTTGACCAAACTTGTAAATTCAAAATGGCTGCAAAGCATATTTTAGCGAAGGCCTGGTTGCTAAGTTTTGAGCGATTTTGTGCAAAAATACGCGACTTTCTAAAAAATCTCCTCTTAACATTATGCTATAAAAGTCTAATACCCCGCTGCAGCGGGGTATTCGAAGCGGGGTATTCGAGTTTGCGTGTACCACGCGTGGATGCCTCGCATACGACTCGAGGTTGTCAACAATTTCAAAATGGAGGCAAAAGAAGCCATTTCACCCAGCTTTTGCGCTGCCTACACGTTGTTTCAATATAATATATAATTTATAGACCTTCGCTCGGGGAATTCGACGAAATATTACCCCCTCGGGAAGATATATCTTCCTTGGGGGTAATATTTCGTCGAATTCCCCTCGCTCCAGGTCTATAAATGATAAATATAACATGCATGCACTAGTCACTGTAGTCACATGCAGATAACGACTAAATAGGAGCTTTACTGAATGCGACTTTAAACATGCAAATGACGCCTGAACATCTACTTGGGATTATATATAGTTTGTATTATATTAATTAATATATCTTATGAAATACCATGAAATTCGACTCTCATCGAGATATGTTCATTCTTGTAACAATCATTTTTTTTGTTGTATCTGAACCACTCGTTATCATTTATCACACGTTATGATAAGCTCACGCGTGGCTATTAGCAAGTCAGAGGCTGTGAATTATTTTAAATGAATAGTAATAAACAAGAATTGAATGAGGCTGGGCATGACATCGAAATTATCAAGGCCAAGGTTATGTTATTGGCGGGCTTTCAGCGAGGGAACTACAGCGTTCAAAAATAAAGAATTTCCTTTATGGTGTAATAATGCACGATGAGGGATTCAATTAGCAGAAAGGCACGAGACAAGTCTTTTAATTGTTTTATAATACAAGAAGAAGTCAAATGGCAACGACAATGATGTTGTGACGTTATTATAGAAAGGGTCTATTAGTAGTTTCTCATATGCCTTTTCAAATTAAGTATACAAATTAAGTTGCATGTTATATTGAATATTGAACGGGAATTTTACATCTGGAGTGCGATAAGTTCCTAGCCATAAGGAAAATTGCAACCCCAAACGTACATGTATTTCATGTACTTATTATTTTCACAATGTTTTCTTTTGTACATCCGGAACATTATTCACACACGAAATAAAAGCTTTTTTGATGCAAATCAAGGTCCGATTATTTAGGCATTCAATCACTTCGTTTTTGAAGCTTGCGTGAAGATTTTCAATTTTTTATAATACTTTATAAAATAGAAAAAAATATAAAACTCGTATAAAAACCTAAAATCATTTATTATTATTATATGACAAGTATATATCTGTATATATTATATCACTTCCGGTAAAATGGAGCTCAGTGATTCGCTGAGAAGAATTTTCAGGGGTCCATTACTTTCCCGTAATGGCCCGCACTTTTCCGTAGTGGACTGGCACTTTCCCGTTATGGACCGGCACTTTCCTGTAATGGACCGGCGATCCATTGCGAGATAAAAAAAAATTCTAAATGAATAAGGTAAAAATAAATAGTCAGGAAAAAAAATAATTGTTAGTGAAATGGATAAGACGTCTCCAGAAAATTTAGGTAAACTAAACAATTCAATGTTTTGTTTTTGTTTATATCAAATGCGTACCAGGCTACGAATACGAATATATGCATTTCTTGTTTGTTTCAATTAAGTCAAATACATGACTTCTTATGCCATATAATGCCATATAAAAAGCGATATCAAAGCATTCTTACAAGGTGACTTCTGTCCACATTGGACTTGTAAAACATCCACGCTTGTTCTTCTTTTGTAACTTCATGTTTGTCAAACTCATGTTCAGTTGTGTTTGTTAGTTGACAGTTGATCTTCTTTTTTCTTTTTCTTTGAGACACTTTGCTTAGGGCCATAGACAAGAAGATAAATAAATCACACCTACTGATCTAATTATTCACTCGCTGTTTGATGTTGTTAAAATGCTAAATTCAATATTACTTTCAAGGATAAAATATCGTCAGAGAATGACAATTCATAACGTGATTACGATTTTGAGGTCTCTATCAATTTCGTGTGATTACCAAAAAGCTAAGCCTATGGGATCGCTGTTAGATATAAAAAAATATAGAAAAACCGTGAGAACAACTACATTATTCTCATAATTATCAGCCATATTTAATAGAAACTGTTTCTTCAAGCGGACATCATTTTACATCATCTTTTTTCTCATCCGTGAGCTCAACCTCAGCTGGGTTGATCGTTAAACAAAGCTTTCCATCCTTTAGTTGCTTTACATTGATGTAAGATTTCTACGAAAAAAAATACTTAAAAGGCTAAAGATGAAAAAGTGAAAAACATATTACGTAAGAAATTTATAACAGGATGGCCATTATGCAGTTAGGGTAGTCATCTAAATGTTACATTTAATCCTGTTTGTGTTATAAGGATGTAATCGCATATTGATGACAGATTTAAATTTTATGTTTCTCAAAATTTTTGGACTAAGTCTAAGAGTTCAGCTATTTGTTCAGTTACACGATGCATGTTGACAAATTGCCCAAACATTTCTCGCGTTCAAATTATCACGCATATATATGGGCTGCCTATGGTTGTAATATTTGTTCCCAAACGGCAATTATAGATGAAGTCATGGATAAAAAGACAGAATCTTTGAGGTTTCCTTTTAAAACCAACCCGCACACATGCATGACCGTGGTATATGATATCATTTACCTCATCATTACTCATCAAATCATGAAGACGTTGGCGGATTTCAGAGAAGGTTGGTCGATTCTTCGCATTCACCTTCCAACAGTTTGACATTATTTCGTATCTGAGTAAAGAAACCGATGCATTAAAAGTTTTTATTGCATGGCAAGTGTCACGTCCGAAGAAAGTAATTGGCTGAGAAGAATTTTCGGCGTTTCATTACTTCCCAGGATTCAAGTAAAATGCCTTATGCATTACGTCAAGCAATGCGAAATTTAAAAAATGCAAATCGTATTCTTGGGATGCGTATGGACCGACTCTTTTCCGTAATGGCCCAGCCTTACCGGCGTCATTACGAGATTCTGAAAAAAATGCTGAAGAGAAAATTTAATTGCTTTTGAAATTAATAAGATGTCTCCAGACGGTTTAGGTATACTCAACAATTAATGCACTATTTTGTTTTTGATTTTATTAAATGCGTACTAAGCTACTAATACGAATTCGTGCATTTCTTGTTTGTTTGAAGTGCAAATACATGACTTACGGCTAAATTTGGCATATAATTATATAAACTCTTTATATTATCTTCGCTTGCTCGGTCCTAACTGAGAAATATCGGGCCGAGGTCTTTTTGCCTAAGCCTCGCTTGTCGAGTTCGGTCTGTTCGAAAAGACCTCGGTCCGATATTTCTTGGCAAATACCTCGCGTTCGGTTAATAAGAAGTTAGTACATAATACATTTAAAGAATTCGTGAAAAATCTGTTTAATTTACATTAACTGACAATTTTTTGAAATCCATAAAAAGTTCTTAGAACTTTTAATGTCGTTAAGCACACGCTTTAGATTTCGTTAGGTTCTGCGGGGAAGAATACGCTTGTCCGGCATTTTTCTGTGGAGTCTTTATGAAAATAATATTTGGCCTTTATCGTATAAATGGCCGGAAAATCAATGGGGAAGTAACACGTTTTTGCATTTTCATCACACAAATAACATCGTGCGTCGCATGAATTCACACCTAGCAACATTATTAAACGTAATTAAGGAAGGAATGCATGCACAATATACGTTTTTAGGAAGGCATAAACAAAAGCAAGCGGAGTATCAAACTTACATTTCACTTGAGCAGTGAAGTGGTTTTGGCATTCGGCATCCGGATCCGACATGATTGATTATGTTATACGGTGATATCCCCTTGTATGGCTCTTCACCTGAAAAATATAAGAAATTAAGGAAATTTGCAGATACAATCGTTTTCTTTGTCATTGATTTCATGGTTTTATTTTCCGGCAATAAAAATTAAGGCTTTTATTCCTTGCATGGCGATTTTACCATCGACTGATAAAAACAGAGAAATAAAAAAATTGCAAATTGAAATGAAATGTTCAAAGCCACTATTGTGTGAGATTGAAATTTTTTCATTACTGATTTTAAAACGAGAACGTTCTGTATAAATCAGCGATAGGATCCAAGGAAAAATACTGAAAATCAAGTTCCTATTTGAGTGGAAATACCGCTATGGAAATGAGCCGTGTGAGTGAGCTCTTAATACGGGCATAAGTATCACTCACTCTCAATATACCTCGTACCTGGGGTACGCACCCTTCCCCAAAAGAGCGTAACACAATTGAATTTTATCTTTTTTGAAAATCACGACTTAAAGATAGATTTCATGCATATTTTTTGCCGCCATATAATATTCTCGATATGTTGCAGTATACAAACTACTCATTAACTTCGTCCATACGATGACACATACCCAAAGTCACGATTTCATAAAGAAGGACGCCAAAACTCCATCTATAAATTCAAAAACGCTGACGATAATTGATGTTTGTCAGATGCATGACATTCTCGGTGTCTGTGAATATAATTTTGCGTTACGATTTTTTTATTATTTGAATGCAAACTGAGCTTGAAATAAGAAATAAAAGTACAATGGCCATTCTCTAAACTGCCCAATGAACAAAGGTACTGTGGCTAGTCTTAACCTGCCAATGCTGCCATATAAACAAAAGTGTAATGGCCAGACTCTAACTTGGGCCAGGCTGTCATACGCTAATGCTGCCAATGCTGCCATATAAACAAAAGTGCAATGGACAGACTCTAACTTGGGCCAGGCTGTTGGCGAAGGAACAAGCGTATTATGCCCAGTCTCTAAGCTGTCGAAGGAACAAACGTACAATGGCCAGTCTCTAACCTGCCCAAGGAACAAACGTACTATGCCCAGTCTCTAACTGTCGAAGGAACAAACGTACAATGGCCAGTCTCTAACCCGCCCAATGAACAAACGTACTATGCCCAGTCTCTAACCTGTCGAAGGAACAAACGTACAATGGCCAGTCACTAACCTATCCAAGGAACAAACGTATTATGCCCAGGCCAGTCTCTTGGCGAAGGAACAAACGTACTATGACCGGTCTCTAACATGACAAAGCAGTAATTAAACGTACTATCTCCACTCTCTACCTGCCCTAGGAACAAACGTATTATGGCCACTCGTCAATCTGTCCAAGGAATAAACCTATAACCACTAGGCCAAACACTTACACATCGCTGGCTGTTGTAAATATACCATGAATTAGGCTCTCCAAGGCCATCCATTTAACAGGAAGAAGATTCTAATAAAATAAAGCTAAATAAGTAATCCTTAGTATGTGGTTTTATATGATTATATCGTAAAAAGTTGTGCTGTTTCCAAACCAAAACAAAGTTGTATTTTTTTATGTCAACTCTTTTTGTGTAATGGCATGTCAGTAAAATCGACGTGGGAAAAATCGTGATGTGGTTTAACATGCATAAGCATTCACAAATGCACTGAGCCGTTTTTAAAATGGATATGGCGTCTGTTCTGACTAAAATTTAAACATTTTCAATTTTCTCTATTTTTTCTTTCATTTTTTTGTCCAGATTCTTTTGTTTCTTCAATATTTTCAGTAGAAGTTTCATCAAACATATGTTGTATTAGAAAATAATTTAATTAAAAAGAAACCGATATTTCCTAGTTTAGTTTATGAATAATGCCTCAGATAATCAGATTCACCACTTTTCGCAAATTAATCATGCAAATGAAAACATTATTTTCCAGTGAAATTGTTCTTATTATATTACACCTCATATACCTGATTGCTTCGTATATATTCCTCAGCACTTGCAATATCTCTCGCCAAACCAAAATCAGAAATTTTTGCAACGTTATCTAATTCACCAGCAAGAAGGATATTTCTGGCTGCCAAATCACGATGGACAAACTAAAATATTGCAAGAACGTTAACGCCCTGCGTGAATGCCACAATTATAAATAGCATGCATAAGCATATAATGTGGGAAAGTAGTTGACATGCAGACTGATACAGTGGCTGTATGTATGATACCTGTTTGTACTTGTATAGAAGCACAATTTTCCAATTTCATGGAATAGACGTTTTCGATAATTACGACACATTATTTTCGTTTTGATATGCTGGGCCTGATGCTGGGTTAACTGAGAGAGTGAGATGGGCCTTGCGTTTTACTCTCATTAGCCAGGTGCAAAGATGCAAAACATCTTCTTCAACACATGCATGAAAATTTTTTTTTTCATTTCGACAAAAAAAAGGTGAAAATAAGCTATAACACAAGAACGAGACTGCCGATCGTGTCCTGGTAGCCTCGTTTTAGTGTTACGGCCTATTTTCACATTTATTGGTCCAAGTTAAAAATTCCTATTATGCATGTGTACAAGAACAATGTTTTGAGTAAAACATAAAATCCATGTCATTTAAGGTGATTCTAAATTTAAAACGATAATGTTAAACGTAATTATATATCGAAATTAAAGGTCTATTAAATGCTACTGAATGAGGATTTTAACGGTCAATTTTCAATGGAGTAGAACGAGTACGATTAGCAGGAAATTCGCGTCAAATTACTATAAGCGTTCATTAGCCCTCGAACGTCGACCCCTGGTGAAAATGGAAACTTTGGCTTTTGAGTTGATGAGCAAAATCAACTCTTTTCTCAAAATCCTAACAACACACTTTTCTGATACCAAGTAAGCAGTCATGCTAGAATAACGAATCCTGCACTCACTCAATATTGATGATATATCATAGTAGGCTGCAGCATGCTAAAGCACACAAGTATGGATTTTATGATCTCGTTGGACTTTATTAAACCGCCCAACGCAAACGAAATAAACTTTAAGTGGAAGTCAAGTCCATATGTAAAAAAACGGTTTGATATATGATTGGAAATTCAACGTTTAAAAATTGAGAGCTATAGTGCACTAGTGCAGTAGGCAGAACTGTCATAATACCTTTTGATTCGAAAGATGCGCCATTCCACTTGCCACATCAACAGCCATTTTCAAGAGTTGACGAGCGTTCAAAGTAGAAGTTATACGCGATTCATGTCTATTAATAACTCTGCTTTTTCTCAGAAATTTCCGAAGATTTCCAGCAGAGCAGAATTCTGTCACCACCATTAGTTTTCCTGAAGTGAAACATTTGATATCCGCACGCGACGTCAATTAAACACACATACATGATACAAAGTTTAACAACCCTACCTACTAAAGGAAAGATATTAATGAACAAATATAGTAATAATGGTTTTCCATTTTTTTCGTACCTTCCAAAACACATCCGCCTATAAATCGTATTACATTTGGATGACGTTCTTTGTTAATTTTTTTCAAGATCTCCAACTCTGCCAAAAGATCAGATATATCAGATTCCTTCGCAGTATCTGAAACAACATCGAAGATTTTAAAAGTTAGTTGCACGTTATATAATATTTAAGAAATAGAAAACATTTCCGCGTTTCTATTTAACAATCAGGCTTCGCCTTCGTTGACTATTCGCTCATAGACAACTCGGACTTGTTGTCTAAT